CTTTCCCTGAGCAGTTAAAACTGTGTTTTCACTGTCGAAAGGCAGAGATGAGCAGCTCTGAAGTACCACTAGCTTCTTTGCTAAGAGCTGTCTAAGGCCTCAATGCCAACAATATCAAAGTTATAACACTATGAAAGAGGCTTTTAGTAAGGAATAAATCCTTAGTTCCTTTAAAAAAAAATAAATCAAAACCTGACAATTTAAAGAGAGTTGCTGTTGACAGAATACTACAAAGTAGAGTATCACCCTTCATTACTGAAGTTTTCTTTCAAGAGAGTCTAAAATCTAACAGGAAATCACCACTATTCAGAACTACAAAATAAAAATTGCCACATGTGAAATAATTAAATTAAATTATTTTTGAACTAAATTAAAATTCTAAAGGTCTCACTTTCACTCTTCCATTAATTTGAATTTTTACAAAAGCTGTTAGGAGGCTATTTTCATGAAGGAGCTGTTGTAATAAACTTTAATCCAAAATAAATAACATTTAGTTGTAGTACTGGAAAATTCTATTTATTTATGACAAAAAAAGACAAACTTATGTTTTAAGCTCAAATCTCAATTTAAATCTAGCTATGCAGCTGCAATAAGAAGTAGCTATTTATCTGCAGTGATAATAAGCACTACTTGGGAGATAACACTTCTACCAAATGCTTTTCAGAATTACAGTAGTAAAAAATACTTGTGCATTGCTAACAAAATAAACGTAGCATTTAGAAAATAATGAATTTCAAATAATTAAATGTGATCAATGTATTTAAAAGTGTGATGCATGAATATGGGAGACAATACTTGTCTTTTTGTACTTTCAACAACTAGAGCGGCATTGGTCATAGGTAGAAAGCACACAGGTTGAACTGAATAAAACAGTCACATAGCACGTTATTTCAGAGTCAGTGCAGACTAGTCAGGTCTGCCAACAAACTTCTCTTTACATTTACCACAGTCTTTGGTACTACTTCATTATACAAATCATATTTCACATGAGAACAGAACTGTTTTATAAGCCTTGTTGGCTCTACTTTCTACATTGCTCAAAAAATGACACTTCCTGCAGTCTTGACTGATAGTATTAAAAAAAAAAGAAAAAAGAAAAGAAAATAAAGAAAAAAAAAGTGATGCATCCTTGGAGGATGACAAGAGTCAATAGACTGAAGTCAATCATAATATGGTTAGATTGTTCTCCAATTAATAACACAAACTGTCAAGTCTCATTTCCTAACAATTTAGGAGTTCTGCAATCATAATATGGTTAGATTGTTCTCCAATTAATAACACAAACTGTCAAGTCTCATTTCCTAACAATTTAGGAGTTCTGCCAGACCACAAAAGAAAAGCCTATATCCAATCTGTCTGTGCCAATTTTTCAGTCTTGCCTGCAGACTGCAATAAAGGTCAGTGGTAAAGCTGAAAAACGGAAGCCAAATATCCATACATTTCCCCTTCTAACTGGGGAGAAAAATAGCCCTGCCCAAGAAGATTATATCACCAAGTGTGTGTGTATACATGTACACGTGTGTATACATGCATGTACATATACTTTATCTAACAGTTTATTTAAGTAAGAGCAAGCAGTCAAGTAACCTCATGAAGAAAACACAGCCATAGATCTCATCTACACATTTCAATGAGCTCTGATTTACATTAAAAACAATTAATGTTTCCAGTTAAACTGGCACCCTTGATGCCTCAAGGGTTCAAATTTAGCACGGTACTTAAGTAATTCACTGTACTTAAAATTAAGCAGATATTCTTTGACTATCTGAGATTCCCATTTGACATATCTTCTTTTTGAATTATTTATCTCTGTAAGGGCAAGGAGAGATATTAGGAAACAACAATTGGTATAAATGAACACATAGAAAGATAAAAAGGTTTATCTGTTCCTCCAGATAACCAACTATTTTTCTCAAAGTAGGTGTATGTGGAAAATAAACAAAATAGTTTAAGTTGCTCATACTAGTTACCTATGCCCAAGCATATTTTGTGAAAATCCTGGTCACATGATTCTAATTTCTACTGTAATTAAGAACTACAAGTATATAGTTTCCTAGCCAATCTTTGGTTTGCAATTATTTGTTTTTAAGAGGTCTGGACTATCAAAACACTACCATGGTCCCTACATACCTTTGATTCCCTCAAGAATAAGAATCACTAATATGTTCAATTAAAGCACCTTCACATACACAGCTATAAACAGGAATAGGTATGATAGGTATAAAATGGCGCTAATCTCTTCTCCTTCCTCACTCCACATTACTCATGTGTTTACTGTTTATCCCTACCACGTATTTTTCAAATTTAAAATCAACTTGCGTATTCTGGCACAGGCTTCACAGAACATTAACCATTTTTCAGTAGCATGCCAAACGTACAATAAGCCCTTCCTTTAACAGTGCCTCCCTTATTAATCAAAAAGAACAAACCACTTTGGTTTGGAGAATTTCAAAAGGAATAACAATTTTTATATCCTTTACTAAGACACACATATAAAGGGTGGAAACAAGCT